AGTGGGCCCTTAGTGTTAAATGTGCTAGTGTTAGGACCCATTCAGGCCTCTGCATTTCTGTAATGTACAGTAAAAACAACATTTACGCATGAGTTACTTTAGCACGCAGTAATGCACAGTTTGTGGTGTGCTTTGTTGTGTTGTGGTGCCATTTATTTAATATGTCATACTGTACACAACTGTAGCAGGCAACACACCTGTGCTTTAGCACACAATGCTTTGTATATACACTGAGTGGCCAGATTATTATGACCACCCCATTGGGCCACGAGATTACTCTACGAGATGACTTCGTCGGGCCACCTCGTGACTCCACGAGATGTTGAAAGGTGATGCAAGGAATCTGACACTGCACTGTTGCCCTGCTGTTCTCTTGTACCAGTCTTGTCACTCTCCGTTCTGCCCTAACATTGACTAGTCGCTGACGGCCACAATTCGCACGTTCAGACCCAGATTTTCGGCTGACAGTCCAGTCATTAAACACTTTAACAACAGCTGCTCTTGAACATTTAATGAATTCTGCTGTTTTGCTGATACTCGCTCCATGGCTCCGAGTGCCAACAATCATCCTACGTTCAAAGGCTGTTAAATCGCGTTGTTTACCCATATCTTCAGAAAAAAATCACTTCTACTGTCGTGGTAAACAACCTGCTTCCCTATTTATAATTGTCTGGCCCTCTAGCAACTTCAGCGCGAAATTATAGCTAATTATAGCTAATTTGCCTGCAAACGTCAGGTGGTCATAATAATCTGGCCACTCAGTGTATATATATATACAGAAGACACAACAGTCAGTGCTGGATCAGAGATCGGCATCAGCGCTGGAGGGACTGCTGAAAACTACTGGAATTAAGAAAATGATTGGATTAAGAGGCATCACTTAAGGTAAGTCATTAAACAAGGATTAGAGGGGGGAAAAATTAGAGTTTAATGTCACTTTAAAGTATGTGTAAATCCAATCATTAGACACTCCTATAAGCTTTAACATATGAATATATAAATGAATGATAAGTAAGGTGATCCATGTGCTTTGTTTCTCACATCTGCAGGTTTTCTTTTCTTGACCAGTTCACTGAAGTCGCTTCCCTTTGCTACCAGACCATCCCATACAAAGCAGAACCAGCAGCCCACAATCCAGGAGCACCAGACAGCAGATTGCTAGGGGTGCAAAATCATTAACCCTTGCAGTGGGGCGGGGAACACACTGCAAGGGTAAATCTTTTTCGACCTTGGAATTCAGCTTTAAAAAGTGCTGCAAGTTTAATCAAAATAAATGGGCTAAATAAAAGTTCACCTTTAAAGTAGTATTCATCTCTCAAACTTATTTCAATAATGAATCCAGATTAAAGAAATATACATTGTCCAGCAAAGTATTCCTTTACACTTTTGCCCAAACACTTACAGTTATCTTTTTTCTAACAGCTGGCTCCAGCTCTCTCAGCTCAGCTTCCCTGAACTTCCTATCCAGTACAAGATCACCAAGGACAGCACAGCCTGCTGCAGATGTCCATCTACTAGCATGGAGAAAGTAGGAGGGAAGAGAGAGGAGCAGGGGAGAGGGAAATGACTTGTCTTGCCTGTGTGTTTTTGTGAAGACACACACACAACTTACTAGCACACAAGGGTGGCTGCATAGGACCTGGCAAGGTAGAGGAGCCACCCTAAAACAGGATATCAGGACCGGTGCCCAGGGGACAAGCAGATTCTGCAGGAAACTAAAACTTTTAAACATCAAGGAGCAGCATCAATTGTAAGTGATTTCATCAGCATTTGAAATAGCTTAAAACCCTTTTGACGTTAATATCTCTTTAATGCATTGCATAGCGTGAATATACCTTCATCCTTCATATTCTGCTTAGCCTGCTACAGTGGAACTGAAAGTGGCAGCAGAAGCATGCAAGATGTGTACATCCATCATGGCTGGGGAATCCCGTAACACACAAAGTAACTGTCAGTGACATATCTTTAAAGTCACTCAGGAGTTTAACCTTAAACATGTATTCAAGTACCTTAACTATTAACAAAAATGTGTCTTATTTGTGCATCACTCAGCTGTAGATCCTCAAATCATCTCTCAATTGGTACTGACACTGTCCTTCCTTCTATTGGTCGGCTACTTTTGTATAGAGATTGTAGTCCAACTGTCCAGACTGTAATAGTGACCAGTCACATTGTTTGCCAGTGCATCCAAAGTAGACATGTGCATTCGGATACGGGCAAACTTGCTGAATCACAAAATTCCGTTCATTCGGCAGTATGCCTGAATCCGAAATAACACATTATTATATGCCTGAATATATGCGAAAAATATATTCGGATATATACTAATTTGTTTTGTATGGACACTGCCACCTTGCTGTGTCCAAGCTGGCAGTGCCCATACATGCATATGACGTCACCCTATGGTGACTTCATGCGTCCCGCCTCCAAGATGGCGGCGTGCATTTGCAGAGCGTGCCAGTGGCCAATATGGCCTCCGCGTGTTTTTTTTCTTTTTAAAGTGTGCGCTTTTGGATTTGGAGCTTCATTGCCTTTCATCAAATGAACCTAATGAAAAAGTTGTTTTGTCCAAAACAAATTTTTATGCTGTGCACATGTCTAATGTATAGTAAGAAAGTCTGCTTGCTGATTGGTTGTGTTAGGGATTTTAGTACACCATTCATTTATTCACATTCTTAAATAATTGTGAGAATAATTGAATCAGAACTTTAACCAGCAATTTCATGACTCCCAAAACAGATACCTTTAAGGCATGCCAACTATCAAGGTTGCCAGTGTGCTTATTTCAGCTCTCATCCAAACTTTCAAGTCCTCAAATAGCAATTGAGATCCAAATAGAGGCTAAGATGGCTCCTTCCTTGGCTGTAACACATAGGAGGTTGTAGTTCGGTTTTAAGACTTGAAATGATTAAATGGTCCTCCTAAACAATATTCTATGACCTAGTCAGTTTTATTTCACATCTTGTTTTTGTCTTTATAATGCAATGTGTGATTGATTAAAAAAAGGTTTCAGGTTATTGATCTCTTTTATATAAGTTTAAAAAATGGTATTACGCTGATTGCAGGAAGTTGTTAATTTATGAAAGTGACCTGTTGCTTTCATGCGGTGATGTTTTTCTTGTGTTTTGTAACCAGCTGCCTGCAAATTAATGTGATTTGTGTTATCTTGTTAACAACAGCTGAGTGCAAAACATCAGCTAAATTCTATTACATAAGATATGGTTTCAGGCAATTCACTGTGGATGTCTTAAGCAGAGAGGTTTATATAACACTCGGAGGCTTTAGTGAAAACATTTTTTAAAATATATTTTAGCTAGGGATGCACCGATATATCGACCACCAAAACATATCACCCGAAAATGGCACTTTTGGCAAAATGCTGAAAGTGAAATTTTTCTGCTGAAATAGCGGTGCATACCTGCTTTCTCTCCTCCCTGCTGGGCGCTGCTCTGTGTCCCAGTTGGCAGGAGAGAAACTGTCAGGGGGGCCTAGTGCTGCGGGAGGAGAGTGCTGTGAGCGGCCGGCATCTCTCCTCCTCGCACCGCTCAGCCTCCTGTCACAGATCGGCAGAGCGGTGTGTGGGCGGAGAAAGCCAGCGCTGTCACCGGAGGCCAGCCGGCAGGGAGGAGTCAGCTGTCAGATCGAGCTTTCCTCCCCGCTCCGCTCGCTCAGCCGCCTGTGACAGCGTGTCAGGAAGGAGAACGTCGTGTGTCGCTACAGCAGGACCCTTTTTGGAGCGGATTTAGCCGCGATTCAAGCTTGCTCAATGCAAGCTTGAACGCGATATCGCGCTGCAAATCTCGCGATATCGCGCAATATGCAAATCGCGCGACAAACGAAAGTGAATGCACGCAGCCAGCAGCGTACACGTTGGACAGACACAGTGGGATACAGAAGACACAACAGTCAGTGCTGGATCAGAGATCGGCATCAGCGCTGGAGGGACTGCTGAAAACTACTGGAATTAAGAAAATGATTGGATTAAGAGGCATCACTTAAGGTAAGTCATTAAACAAGGATTAGAGGGGGGAAAAATTAGAGTTTAATGTCACTTTAAAGTATGTGTAAATTGCAATCATTAGACACTCCTATAAGCTTTAACATATGAATATAATTCCAAAAGCAGAACTCCAGGATTTTTGGAAATTAATCCTTGCTGTGGGGCTACCCACAGAGCCTCATTTTCCCCTTGGCTCTAGCCATATTTTCTCAACTATTACTCTGCTTGAAATACAGATCTATTATATGTGAAGATTCCGAGGAACATACCACAACGGAGCAGAGGGGGGAGAAGTCAGCAGTCACTGCTGCAGTACAGAGGAACAAGTGAGTAGTTCTTTTTTTATTTTTGCCCCTAGAGAAAAACGAGCAGTTAACCCTTGCAGTGCTTGGTTAGCCCCACTGCACATGCTAATTTTTTCAAAATTCTGGAGATCTTCTTTAATTATAACATATTTGAAATCTGCTGCTTTTATTAAAATAATACCTAGTGATGTTGCCATGACGATCCTTATATTCAATAACAGAATTTTCATGTTAACAAGTTAGCAGTTAATTCACAGAACACTGATTTTAGGTTTAGTTGGAGCCAAATGGGCTGAATCACCTGCTATCATGTTGTATGTTCTGGAGACAACAGTCATTAGATCTGCTTTCTATAGTCCCTAGCATTTGTAGTTTTGGATGTTTGCACCCACCTTTGGGTGTTCCCATACCAACTGTTGTATTCTCAATAATGTGAAATAAACAAAAGTTACAGTAAGTAGAACAGAATCCTATCATAACAGCCATGGCAGGTGTTTAGACTTGGGAACTCAACAGCAGAGCTCTTACCAGTAGAGTCCCTGAGAGATGTAAGGAACCTTTAGAGGTTTAACTCCCCATTTGCATCTGGCAAACATTAAATAACAGTTTTTAGTGGACCAGTTCTTTACCCATAAGAAGATGAAAACAGTTTATGTAATAATATCATAAATGTAAGTAGATGCCATTCAACTTACTTTGATACCCATCAGGCAGTAGAGGACACTGATGACTCCCATTGGAAGCACGTAGAACAGCAATGATGTTACTTGGATAATGCAGTTATAAATCCACAACGGTTGGACAACAGTGCACAGAGCAGAGTCTGGTACAAGACTTCCATTGGGGAAGTACTTCACTTCAATGCCATGAGTGCTGGTATTGGGGAAAGAGAAAACAATGGAGACGATCCAAAGTGTCATGAGGATTCTAAGGGCCCTCTTTCGGGTGCTTTTGAGCTTGGCTTGAAAGGGATGGATGATGGCCACATACCTCTCCACACTGACCGTTGTCACGCTAAGTATAGAAGCAAAACACACAGTCTCGAAGAGCACAGTCTTAAAATAACAACCCCAAGCACCAAAGAAAAAAGGGTAGTTGCTCCACATCTCATATATTTCAAGAGGCATCCCAAGGAGCAGGACAAGAAGGTCAGAAACCGCTAGACTAAACAGGTAATAGTTTGTTGGAGTCCTCATGTTATGGTGCTTCAGGATCACCAAACACACCAACATGTTTCCAGTGACCCCCACCAAGAAAATCGCTGTGTATACAAGAGTTATGGGGAGCGATAAATGACTGCGCTTTGGACCATAAAAATATGCCAGGTACTCTTCTGTGCTGTTTAGGTATCTCAAGGGAATGTCATCAGACGGGAGAAAATGACCTGGCAATGTAAAGCTGTCATTTTGCTGCTCATCCATCACTCCGATGTCAAGAGACAACCAGGGTTCACTTAATTTGTAAGTCCACTTAAAACAGAAACTGTCTAAAGTCTACTGAGAATGAAGCTGTTCTGTCGACAAGATTCTACCATAATAGAACAAAAACTAAAAACAAAAAAAAACACTTTAAAAGAATAGCTCAAGGCATAAATGGTTTGATAAAATCAAACATAATATAAAATAACAAGACACAATTAAATGAAATGTCATGGAAACATAAAGATGTACAGAAGGTTAGGTTAAAAAGAAGACGCACCAAATGATAGAAAAAATACTCAACTAGGTGTCAAGCGGCTAAACATAGCAGGAAATTACAATTCTGATAAAATACTAGCAAAAACAAAAGCTCCTCTTCAAGCACTTTCCAGAGGTCTTCAGTCCGTTCAATAGGGGAGAAAACTGCTGAAGTCTCAGTTAGTGCTGCTGTGTGATACAGAACACCAGTTGCCTTTCAAACATCTCTGTTTTAAGTGGAAAACTCTCCTCCTCCGAAGGATGCTGATTGGACAACCCAAATTATTCACTCATTCCTAACAATGACTTCAAGCTGCATTCAGCACGAGTCTGAGACGAAAAGGTTGTGGCTGCTCGTCACTGGTGCTTTCACGATCGCTGACATGTGGTGCAGGTTGGCTTGGCAAGTCGGTTAAAGGGTTAATTCCTAGTAGACACCATTACGTCTATTCTACCGGATACGAATGAGAATGTGATGTGTTCTGGATGTTCATGACGGAGGAATACAACTATGAAAACTATCCAGGATAATTTGTGTTTGCTATTTCGTAGCTGGTAATTTGAAAATACATTTTGAAATGAACATTGGACACTTGGCTAATAAACCATAAGATAGACTCAATCTGCCGCACATGAGATAATACAAAATGGTCAGTCTTTTCCTTATGTTTTAGAATAGTGTGAAAGGGATTAGATTGGTGTAAATATTCTTATCGATATGATTTTTATTTCAAAACCTTGTTTTGTGTATAATTTCTGGTTTTATATGTACATGAGGGCAGCCATATGTTCTCAATAAATGCTCAGGTTCTGCTTTCTGCTTTGCAGCTCTACACAGTGATTTTGCTTTACTGCTCCTTTTTAAAATGCAAGTCTATTGGGCATATAAAAGTGAGACTAAACTCAGGAGTTAAATCTTAAAAATGCATTCAAGTACCCTAACTATTAATACAAATGTATCTTATTTGTGTATGACTCGGCTGTAGATCCTCAAATCATCTCTGAATTGGTGCTGACACTGTCCTTCCTTCTGGAGGGTGGCTACTTTTGTTCCCCATAGTTCCTGTGTGTGTTTTAGCCACTGCACCAAGCTCCCTCCTGTGATGGACTACAATCTCATGTTTAGTTTACTGATTTGTATTGAGATTGTAGCCCATTACAGGAGTGAGCTTGGAGCGGTGGCTACTTTACAAAACACACAGGAACCATGTGGAACAAATATAGCCACCCTCCAGAAGGAAAGACCGTGTCAGCATGCATTCAGATATGATTTGAGGGTCTACAGCTGAGGGATGCACAAATAAGATACATTTTTATTAATATTTAGAGTACTTGAATGCATTTTTAAGGTTTAACTCCTGAGTTTAGCGTCACTTTAGTTGACTTAAATATTTCTTATATCTGTCAGGGACTACTAGTGAGATGTCTATGGTTGAGTCGCTCAGTTGTACATTTGCCATTATAAGGGTGCCCTTCTCTCCCTATATCATTTTTAACTGATCTCAAATCATTAAGAATGCAATAGGAAAAATAGGATGATTTGAGAATCTACAGCCAAATGATACACAAATAAGATCCATTTTTGTTTTTAGTTAAGGTACTTGAATGCATTTTTAAGATTTAACCCCTGAGTTTTGTGTCATTGTAATACTACTAACATTCGCCTAGCATTTCATTCCCCACATTCACTGTGTTTATAATGGGGTCAGTGTGCATGACAAGGGTATTGTCTACCTTATGTAAGGGTCAATTAACGAAACAGCATAAGACTTCTATATCAATCCCCCTTCTAATTAACTGACACAACACTTGTCTTGGATTTTTAGTGGCCACAGCACCCAATTTATTAAGTATAAAACCATTTAACAAATCTTTCCAAAAATAACTGACAACGGGAACTGAGGTCCTTGAAGGCCATCCCACAACAAATCAACCAGTGTCTGCCCACATGGCCCCCAGCTGCACCACACTGCCTCGGGGACTAAGTAGTATCAGCAGACACTAGATGACTAACTATCTGACCCGTTAACAAAGGGATGCCAAACCTGAGACAGCTCCCCGCTGTTAATTAAACAGCAACTGCATAGATTGCTCCTCAAGGACCCCAATACCCTGCCCGGCTGCAGCAACATTAACAATAGATCAAAACAAAATGCAATCGGACAATGCAAATATCAAACAAAAGCAAATACCACACACAAAAAAAAAAATTAGGGCGAGAGGGTGGGACGCTACTTCCACGCTGCTGACTCCGTCTGGATCTGGAACCTTCTTTCCTCAGGGATCCACCTACACTCCTCCTCTTCGCACCTCTGACCAATCAGGTAAGTGTCCCATCATGACCTCCCTGTTGCTAGGAACAAATTAACCCGAGCAGGACCCTTTTTTGTTTTTCCAAACCCCTGTTATGTAGGCCTTCCACAGATGCCTCTGTCTGCTGTTCCAGGCCTGTCTGGGGATTCATGTGGACATCTGTCAAATGTCACCCTTACAGAAAGCTGTAGAAACAGTTTTTAAAGGGTATCTAGGGTCAAATACTAAAAATAAATCTGTATTTCTATATTGAATTTACATAAGTTCTATCCCACTCCTAATAACCATATTGATCTAGAAGTTTGTAAACTTGCATATTGAAGATGCCCATAGGATGTACTTACTCAATGCACTGACACAATTTCACTCAGGCCTGCCTTCTAAACTACATATCAACATCTGAACAATGTCATGTTATATTTGCTTGCTGCAAGCAATGCATGGTGGGATATGCAGTCATGAGAAATCAAGATTGCATCACATCAACCAGCAGGGAAAGACACACAAAGCACACTGGGAATCCAGGAAGTTGCTGAAAGTGATGGGCATTGGGCAGACAGAAGGCAGCACTCACTACATAAAAGGAATTTTTTTCAAGTGAGCTTTGGTTGCATTATCAAATAAAAAACAACTCTACTATGTATTCCGATCACAGTGCTGAAGTTATAGCAGGATAGTATATGCTGGGCCTTTAGAACTCCTTTAAACTGCCAAGTGAATTTTCTGTTTGGAGCTCTCCATAGTGCTGAATCTGTGTTTTTACACAGTTTTAGCACTACGGTGGCTAAATGTACTTTTGTGCTTGGTTTTATTTAGTAACTATTAAAAGATGTTTGTTTTTTTAAAAAGAACAGAATGTGCTTCTCCTCCCTTAAAGACCTAACTAGTCTGGTACCCCCGACATGTGGGGTGGAATCCACATAGCAAAGGAACAGTGAGTGTGCAAACCCCCTGAAATACTGATATCATCCTGGGCCAAAGAAAGAGATATCCCACCAAAAGCACCATTGCCTAAGGAAGGGTGTCAGTAACGGGAGGACTTCTGTCACACTTCCTGTCATGTTCATGTTTGTTATAGTTCAGCTATGGGCAATTATGTACTACATGGAATTGCAGTAGTTATGTAAGAGGATACTCCAAAAGACCCCCAAAACTAGTTCACCAGGAAGGGGGTGACTACCCACCTGTCCCATGGGGAACAAGTAGGTGGCATATAAGCCCCCCAACTTGCCAGCACCAGTTCTTTGATAAAGGTACCCCTTTTTTGGTGAATCCCTCTCAAAGCATCCCCCAATGCTGAAGAGCATGTGAACTGGTATCAAAATGGCAGGGACTTGCTGTTGGGATAACAGCCATCATGTTATGTCTGGAAGGAGGGAGGGGGGAGGGGTATTTAGAAAAAAATAAAAATAAAAAAACGGGGATGTTCTGAACCCGTAATAACAGCAAGAACAGATGTTGCGAATCTCAGTGAATATATTTTTTGCCAGGTGACTGTAGATAGAAATATGCTTTATGGATAGGGTGTATGTTGCTCAGTGATTTTTTCTTGTGAATATTGGGCAAATGTGTAGCAGATATCCTGATGAATCCATTAAAAATATAACCCTATAAGTTGACCAACTCATTGAATAGAATGCACTCCCATGTGGTGGAGTAATTGCATCCAGCCACTGAGAGCTCCCTCTAGTGGCTTTTCTACAAGCTTGTAAAAATGAGAAAGTCAAATCAGAAATGGCTTGAACACTGCAAATAAATTCACTAAATGTTCACCATGATTTCCCTTTAAAACCAATTATACTTCCATTTGTATGATTCACATACATAGACATGTAAGTCATAATTTTGCTTGCATGCTTTAAGAATTTGTATTTTTTATACTGCCATCTCTAATTTAAGGGGTAATTACCCAAGATCGTATTTTTACTGAGACCATGGATTGCGAAGTGATTGATAGTGTTTGCTTTAGTCATTTCTCATATTGATGTGCAGTAAGCAACAGGGACAGAGCTGACTGCAGTATACAGGGGTTCCTGTGGTATGAATATTTGGTTGACATGGATACACACACACACACATGTGAAAACACATGCTTTGCTGACCCTCACATATAAGCAGCTCGACAAAGATAAAACACTATTCACTAAAGAGCCGAAGGATATAGCCAAACCTTCAGCTAATCCTTCAGCTCGCTTCGGCTACAGGAGACCTGGTTCAGATGAACTTCACAATAGCCCACACAGCAGCCAAAGACAGCCGAAGTGCTTAGCCGAGCCAAAGCATATGCGTTTGGCTCGGCAGAGCCAAAGACACAGTCGAAGCTGGGAGAACGGTCTGCAGAAGCAGACCATGCTCCCCGCAAAATGTAAACAAATACTAAGAAAAAGAAAAACCGGTGCAGGGCACCCTCTCCCGATCCATACCAACTAGTA